ACCAGAGTCAATTACCCAATTACTGTCCTGAGCTACAAGGCTAACACAACCTTCATCACAGACAATAGTGATATTACCTTCAGCAGTAATTGTATTGGTCTCTTTCTCATTTTTCTTCATTTCATTCTGTTCTCGCTTCCAAAACCTACACTCTTTCTTCATGTGACCTGGCCTATTACAGTGAAAACATTTGATATCTCTTCTAGACTTAGATCTTCCTCTATATCCATGTGGATTTCTGCTATGACTTCTTCCACGTTTTTCTTGTTTTTCAGTAACAAAGGCCCCAGAAGAAGATTCACCCTGTTCTTTCCTTCTGGCATCTTCATTTAGCAAACTGTCTTTAACCATATCTATGGTTAGAGTTCCCTCTGGCGTGGAGTTACAAATAGTCACCACATACGTTTCCTAACTTTCTGGTAAAGAGTTGAGAAGTAACAATCCCTGCATCTTATCATCTATATTCATTTTCATAGCAACCAACTTGTTTGCAAGACTCTGAAATAGGCTTATGTGCTCAACAATATTACCACCATCTTTATACTTTAAATTTACAAGTCTTCTAAGGAGAGAAATTCTATTTCCCACCGTCTTTTTCGTAAAGAGATTTTCTAACCTTTGCCAAACAACATCAGCTCTGATTTCATCTGAAATATGCTCATGCAAGTTTATATACATCCATCTTCTAATATAGGCAATAGCTTTTCTATGTTGAACTTCTCATTCTTCATCGTCCATAGTAGAAGGTTTATCTTTAACCTTGATGGGCTTATACAAATCTTTGCAATAAAGCAAATCTTCCATCATACGCCTCCAAGTTGAATAATTTGATGAGTTCAATTTAATTATACCATCTGACTGCTCCATTTCAATCACACAAGAAAAACTAGCACCAAATAACCTGTTGCTCTGATACCACTTGTTGGGAAGAAACCTGTTAATGCGGAATAATTCTTTTCCCTCTTTGTGTATCAAAATAGGTTCCTCATCAAAATACCAACTTGATATCAAAATGCTAATATCAATCAGCACAGCATAAATAATAGAGCAATAAATCAATCATACAGTGAGACCAAATCTTTTAACATGGAAAACCCAATGTGAGAAAAACCACGGGACTGTAGTCCACCTCAAACTTCCACTATCAATAATAATAATAATAGGTTTACAGTAGGTCTTCTCTAGAATAACTAGAGGATTAGAATAACATCAAGATCATAGATAGATCTTGGCTCAATAATATCAGGATGGATCTCCTCAAAAAAGAATTCTAGGTCTTACAAAGTGGATATCGTAGGAAAGTACCTTAGAGAGTGTAAACTGCAGATCAACACCGTTAGGATTGTAGAGTTTGCTGCAAGGATTCTCCACATAAAATTTGGGCTGAAACTGACAACGTTTGGCCATCGATCGTCAAGCAGAAAACTCAAAAATCTAATCTTTCTCTCTCTATTTCTCTCTCCTCTTTCCTATGCACGCCGCACGTTGCATGCTGGATCTTTTTTTTCTCACCTTCTCTCTCCTCTTTTTAATTTCTTTCATTTGCTGATTTGGACTCAATAGGCCCAATTGAGGCCCAATTGTCCAAGCCCACATATGGGCTGGACCCAACATTCTTTGCCCGTTGAAAGAAGATCGATAATGGAAGCTGGTAGCCTCGAGTGAAGAGGAATCGAGAGTGGATGTAAGTCACGATGACCGAACCACTATAATTCCGGTATACTCTTTTCCTTTGCTGCTTACTTTTATTGCATACCTAACTGCTCACTTCACTTTATATATACTTTAAGCCCAGCTTAAATTCTTTTCGAAGCGGACTTTATAGAAACGATTTTTTTACATTGAACGAGTTTTCAAATCGACATAATTTTTATGTAAGTACTAATTCACCCCCCTAGTGTCGATTTCAGTCTTAACACACTTATGTGCTACCCATGGTTATAGTAGTGAATGTCCCTTCTTACTCAGCTGATTAGTTGCCTCATGACATCTTCGCCACCAACCCACCACACATGTCGCCTGTCTTCCGAGAGTAGTACAAAGAAACTCCCATGGGTCGACTGGCCTTCATTAGCATTATACCGCATCCACGTGCGATGGTTCTCATGTGCGCTATTATCACCGTCGCAGGAGCCTCATCGACCACGCATCTCCTTTGTGGTCAACTAGTGAGCCATACGATCGTCGTGTAGACCTAGGTGGCCTACACTAGTGACCGACCAACTATCGCTGGGTACCATTAACATAACTCAACCACAAGTAGCTCAATGTAGCCTGCCGCAAATGTCATTTGTCGATCGGCATTCACAACCGTGCTGCCACAACTGACATTGCCATTGCTATCTTCACCGTCCTCGTTGACACTTGTCAAGGGCAACGTTGCCTTCCTGTGTTACTGCAAGCATCCGATGTTATCGCACCACACTGCATGTGCAGCATTGCTTGTGGCCAAATCCTACTGTTGTAGGCAACAATAATGCCACCCAAGGCAATCGTTACCCATGGTGGCAACCGTCGCATGCAGTGCATTGTCATAACACTTTTATTGCTTGGGTTGTTGCACAAAGAAGCCATCGTTGCATGTGATAACACTACTATTTGTGCGGCCTTGCTCATGATAGGATCGACAACCAATGAAGACCATCATCCTCAATAATGCTTTAGTCAATAAGAAGCTATCAATGATAGCCCACCAAACAAATGCAAGTAGGATACTTCTATTATGATTTCAGTCGTATTGCAAACAAGCGAGAAATAAAGAGGAATAGATTTAGAAAAGAAATAGAAAGGCAAATCGATAAATGAAGGGTACTAATAAATAGTTCTAACTACAAAATAGACCTAACATCGATCTAGGATATTTGATCTCACGGCTCTGATATCAATTGTAACCATAAAAGTTATAATTATATCATTATATAAAAATTTTTAATGCTAAAAATTAAAATCAAATAACGATAGATCAAATATTATGATTACGTACCTTTTGATGTTATTTAGAGGAGGTATAACATCCTTACTATAGTCACTTTTAGTTTGAAGAAAATACTATATGAACATTGAGCCTACACCTCTATTCAAAACCTCCTTTGTGTTCGATCATTCACTCCATTTGTAATATTTGAGATACATCCAATTTTCTTGTGTTCCAATTCGGAAACTTCCAATTTAACATAATAAAATTTAATTGCTTCTTGTGTTTGAGATCCCAATTTTCATGTCTTTTTGTGCACAACGACGACATAAAAAGGGGACATAAACCACAAGCGAGCCGATTTGGTTAATGATGAACCCATTTGGTTTGTTTCACGGTCCCAACCCGAATAGACAATCACATACTTGTCCTATTATCATATTTGGGATACTTCCACGCAATTTCTGAAATCTAAGACGCTTTCAAATAAAACCCACAAAATTGAACTTTTACAATAAATCATCCTTCATTAAAAGGCTTGGCATTTGGGTCGGACACGCTACCTACGCCGCAGGCGTTCCCCGAGCCCAAAGAGGGCCACTCGCTGAAGCTCAAAAAGGCTCTTCACGCAAATGCCACACAAATATGTTCCGAAAGTGTTTTGATGTGAACAACTAAAGTAGACTTGTTCTCCTATTTCTTATTAGATCGTGGAATACAAGAAAAGGCAGTGTAACTAAATATGTGTGGCCCAAACAACACGCAGCAGGTTCCCTCTGCTGTGGGATGTAGCTTCCATGACCCGTCTTTTAAAGCGATCAACAGAGAATAAAAGCCAAGAACATCAGCTTAATAGATCAAACAAGTCGATGAGTTCTCAAGAATGGATAACAATGAAACGTCATGTAACAAACAGTTCACTGGAAACTATTCAAAGAGGCATACAAAATTAGTCGTGAAACAAAGACTCAATGGGTTCATCCGGAAGCTCTAGTCATTAAGACCGAGGCTTCTCCTTCTTCTCCTTGAAGAGCGCCAATAGGGACACGCCAGAGACCTTCACCACCTTGAACCTGACTCCAGGAATGTCACCCACCGCATGGCCCTTGCGTCCGAAATCAAGACTTCATCCTGCACAAGCAACGGACCAGCTCAACAGCATATTCATCGAGGCAAAAGTTATGGACAGATGGTCAGACTCCTCAAAGAAGATCCTGATACGGTTTCCATGCCATGTGATTGTTGATGTGTTCGCATAAGACCCTTGCCATAGCAGATTCTAGCCGATGGATACTGGTCTTGAGCAAAACCACCTTATTAGAGCCTCCTAGAACTAATCCTTACTAAAAGCATAGTAGATCATTGTTCCTTAAAGCTTCATGGCATATACGATTTCCATATTAATCGAAAGACAAAGCTTACAATTTTCTTCCATGAAATTCAAGCAACCATCATTTGGGACAAAGGCTGCAATTTTCTTGCCATTCTTTATCAGCTGGACTCTAGCGCACTTTCGGATAGCAGAGTTAGGCTGCTTAGCTTCGATACGTCTTTTCTGAAACGAAAAAAGCAAGGTAATGTCAGTCCTCCAAACTTAAAACACCAGGCTGAAACGAAAAAAGAAAAAGAAGATAAATAAGAATCACATAGCTTACATCTTCTCAAGGACAATACCCTTGGCATGTGAGGAACCAGCAAAGGGTTTCTTCCACTCATTGCCGAGATGACTTTTCTTGTATGCCTTGTCTGCCCATCTCTGCCTCCTCCTGTGAGTTTTGAGCTTGCGCCCAGCTCCCATACCACGGGTCTTCCTGTGATAGAGATTGAAATTGATGGAAAACCATTTACCTTTAATGAAACAAGTTCTCTTCATGATCATTCTATTAGAGGAACAACAGAAATTTGGTTTTCATTTCTTACTGTCTGTATTGCCCAAGAAATAGAAATTTGTGAATTTGCTAGTGTAACTTAAAAGATAGCATTTCCCTTTCTACCAGATAGGATTGTTGGGCTGACAGCTCACAAATTCAGCCCATAGTGGGCTTAGGCAGCCCACAGCTCACCCCCTCTTAACCTAACCCTAATTAACATTAGGGGGGTGTGGTGATTACATTTTTGGAGGCAGAAAAAGGCATAAATATGGCAGCAACGTGGAGAAGGGCATAGCCACGGGATTCCAAAGAAAAGAAGGAGAACAAGACAGAAAAGGAAGAGAAAGAAAGGGAAGAAGACAATGACAACGCAGATAGGCTGTTCTCAATCATCTAGCAGTGTTCTCATCTCAGGTTAGATCAAATCTACAGTAACTCTTGCTGTGATTACTTGGGGAGGTTTTAGATATTGTGGACATTGACGTGATCCTTGTATCCCAATTATTCTCTTGTGGTTGTTGCTAGGGTTTAGGGCAAGAGATTGAGATTTGTATATTCATTATTCTCATAGTGGATTATCTCTAGTTTGCCCCGTGATTTTTACCCTTCACATTGAAGGGATTTTTCACGTATATCTTGATGTTATGTTTGATTGTGCTTACATTTAATTCCGCTACGTATTATGGTCTTATAGTATTTGTTCATATACAAAGGTTATTCCTGTTTATATCCCCATCAAGGATGTCTCCAAACTAGAACATCAACATTGTCATACACGAAATTGAATATATTTAGCTGGATACAAACATCTGTAACCTTTGTTCTGACTTAATCAAACCACAAGAATAATAAGCTTAGGATCCAGAACATACCAAGCAAGGTGGTGCCAAGCAGCCAAGAACAAATTACGACTCACAAGGATAATAAAGTTCGAGTGTGGCTGCAGTCGATACAAACAAACGAACCAAAAAAAGGAATGGATTTCTATGACATGCTGACACGGACTTAGCTGGTTTTGCCTAAGTCGTGCGGCACCCTCGCGCGTCCGTCCGCAAAGGTTAGCCTCCCCGAAGCCTCCCATTGTCCTTTAGGACCAACCAAAGAGAGAACGGGTTAAAGAGAACGCCTCAATCGGGATCCACAAGCAAACATGTCCGAAAAACACTTCATAGACAATGCAAATTACAAACAGACTTTACAAGCTCTGAACAGTGGCACAACAAAGGGTAAAATGGTCCATTACAGACCGAAAAGCTCTCGCACGTGTCCACATGACACAACCTTTATTTACAAGCCTAAAGAGGCCACCAACCCAACTAAAATGGGACTATTAAGCCTTCGGCCGCCCCTTTACATTCTGTACAGGGCATGAACATGCCAAAAGACACGGACACACATAAGCATTACATCCAACATCTTGTTGGGAAGTTTGTCCGTGACATTCTCCCCCACTTATCCTTTCGACGTCCTCGTCGAAGCCTTTGTGAACACTGCAACTCTTCGCCTTTGCTGAGTCTTCAATCTTCTGCTCCAGCTGCAATGCGCCTCCTGGCTCCCAGCTGCTCTCCGTTGCTGTTTTTGAGTAGTCGAACCTTTGATCCGCCATGCTGCTTCAACTCGTCAATGACTCTGACT